CACTACAACGGTAACTGCTTTTCGTCTAACCACTACCCAACAGACCTTTCTGGTATGGTAGGACCTCGAGGGAACAAGCGTTCCACCAGCATAGCTCGTTGGGTCATTGTGATATGCAAGCCCGACCACCACGTCAAGGTACCAGCTATCGGTCGGGAGAGCAAATAGATGGAGATTAACAATATACAAAAACTTCGAAGATGACAATGAGTGCATACGTCTGAGCTGGTTTGATGGATGTAGCTCCAGATCAAACAAAAACTTCTATCGTCTTATGGACTTTAGCCAAGCAACCTGTACCTTTTTAGATAGCTCTGAACAACGGTCAGAGACTATGGATCAGTGCATGTATTCAACAATGTATAAGTAGGAGACATGAAGATTGAATTCTTCTCTGGCAACGGTATGCAGCGAAAGTCATAGTCTTGGGTAAACTGTTTTTGTACATAAATAAATTGTCGAGTACAACCAAGTCCTCTGAAACTCTACATTGTTGTAAAATTTCAGGTATGCGAGTGTTTTTTTGAATTTAAAGCTTTCTAAACTGTCCATAAAAACAGTTGGTGTATTTATATTTTCTATCCTATATATGAGGAATGCAAGTAAAAACATAGGTGAGGGAACCAACTGAGTGACTAGAGTTAAAATCAGTTACAACTTGAAGACCACAGTGTAGCATTTTCCAACTTTTAGACACTGATCAGTCTATTAAAACTTTCATTACAGTCACCAACATGATCGATACTTTACAAATAACCGTACACGGGGTTGGCAGGTGAAAAGTGCAAACCACAATTACGTTCCCGGCAGCATATAAAACCTAGATAACCAAAACCTAACTCTTCTCAACTTTCCATCCTTTCACCATTGGTGACGATCAAAGTCAGCAAAAGACCGATTCCACATTGGAGCTTTAAACGTCCGAACACTATGTCCGATTGGATGACAGACATTTTTATCTTTAACTCTGGGGTTTCAGGTTATGGATGTATGGGATATTCTTGAGATGTATAAATAGGAACTACGTGCAGTTATTTACTTGATGTGACGTGTTCAATGTGGTTCATCTGCGAAACTCCCTTCAGGACTGTCCAGAGATTTACTGGTCGGTCCCGGTCGATTAGCTGGTGTTGACACAGCATTAATTCGCAGAGCAGAAAAAAGACATTACTCAACCGAGTACTAATCAGTAGCCCATTATGCACTGTTCAGCCGAACAGAACTGTGAAAACTGGAATAGACCGTGACGGTTGTCGACACCTATTCATCGTCTCCATAAACACACCTACTGAATCCAGTTTAAATGATGCAAAGGATGAGTTTTACTATAAGCAATCAATCCTGCTACACGAAACGATACGACCAGATATAACCATCATAGCAGGCAAGTTCATGCTCAAGTACGGAAGATAGACCGGTTGGAAAAACAACCAGGGATACTTACGACTCCACCTACCAACGAGCTAACAACGATGATATTTTGCAATCTTGCTCCAACAATCGCTTGCTTCTGGTGAACAATAACTTTAAGTATAAGGAGACAATCTCATTTGGCATCCACCAACATTAAACTAATGAAGGACGCAGATAGATCATATTGCTGTAAGCCATCGTTAAAGAGGATAGATGGCGGATTACCGCTTTTTCTGATGCACCTCTTTGGACACCGATCACGCACATGTATGTTTACACTTCGATGAGTGCAAGAAACAAAGCAATGAAGACTCTGCATACTCGATTAGAAAATAAAAATGTCAACTGTGTACTTAGGGATGAGACGTCTAAGCATATATCTAAAAACGAAGGTAATTAATTCCCTTCCTGGAAAAACCTGGCGTAATATTCAGTTTACCATAAAAGCAGCCTTGAAAGAAACCGGTAACCTACATCCAAACGTTAACAAAAGCCAATAGATTTACGCAACCTCATCCTAACTGATAAATGTGAAAAATCTCATTAAAACCGGCTTTGAAAACAATGAAGAGTGAAAGAAAGACAAAACCAACTTGGAACCTTGCACACAACTGCAACGGTTCAAGTTGTCACACTTCATAGTAGTATACAAGGAACAAGTGGATAGAATACAAGTGATTTCAAAGTAGAAAACGTTGTGTGAGAGAATAAGCAATTTGAAGATTTAGTGCAAATATTCAAGCTGTAGAAGACGTCAAGCAGTGAGCACATCTACGCCATTGTGACCGATTTTCGGCCATGTCACCAAGAGTTCTCAACCACTGACTCCTACCGTCTCGGGGACCCCAACCAGGTAGTCAAAACCTCTCTACACGGCTCAGACCAACAATCAGAGACTCTATAGACTAGTGTCATTACCTTCACCCAGCAGGACAATATCGTCTGTATGCTCCAAGTCAGCCGAATGATCAATCCGTTTGGTGAAGTCAGGCGTAATTTTTTTTTATTATTTCTGTTAGTACGTGTATGACGAAGTTAAATAGGTACAGTGACAGTGGGCATCCATGGAGGACACAACTAGTTGTCAGTGCTAATGACAACTCCCCATAAGACGTGATACGGCCGCGTGAGTCCGAGTGGAGAGCTTTGATTAGTGTTATATGCTTTCTCGGTACTCCCTTCACAGTCAGACACTGACACAACACCCCACAGTTGACACAATCAAATGCCACATTTGAGTCAAGAAATATGGCAATTTTCGGTCCCCGGTAAGTATGCCTGTGTTCCAGGACCTGTTGGGAGGTGAAAACATGATCGACGCACCTTCGTCAATGTCTGGAACTTGCCTGGTTTTCTCGAGCTGCAGTTAGGCGTCGGATAACTATGAACCCTAGGATTTTGGACACGGTATTAGTCAAACTAATTCTTCTTTGGTTGTCAAAAGAAGACTTGTCTTCCTTCTTATAGACTGGGATGATCAATGGATTGAACCAGTTTGACGGTACTGCCTCTGATTGCCATACACTGCCTAGTACCTCCGTCGCTTTAAGCAGGAATTTCCTACCTCCATCCTTGAAAATTTCGTGTGGCAAACTGTGAGGTCCTGCTGGTTTGCGTCGTTTCAGGTTCGATGCAGCCTTCTCAACTGCAAGGAGAGTTGGAGGACAGACGTCTACGTTCAGGTTCAGGATGGATGTTGTGTGACTGGAGCGTTGCTGGCTGCCAGTTAGACTCTGCTTCAGCGTGTTCTGTCCGGCGTTTTGGCCGCATGTCCTGGGGTGGGGGGGGTATCAGCATCCCATCTTTTTCAGTGGTTTCACTCACCAGCGTCTTCTTGCCGGTATCCTTAGTCAGTCTAAATATTTACCAAATGTTACTAACTGTGATGCCTTCATCGTCTACACCTACTGTGATACTATCTGGCTGTCCAAACCTCGGTAGATGGAACGGTTTTTGAATCCGTGACTCATCGGTTAAAAACTATCTCTCTAAATCAATGACCCACACTTCCATATGTGCTGACAGACACCAGACTGAGTACCTACAAGGATTGACTTACTCCAAGTATGGTATCTGATTGACTTGGAGTACATAGAAGATAGACTTCTGTCAGGCAAAGATGGTTATAAAATACAGTCTTCAGAATGGCTTAAGAGAAAATCTGAACACGTTTGATATGCAGTCGGTACGTCAGCCAGAGATGACTGTTGAAAGTTTAAAAAAATTGAGAACTCGCAGGTTCTGATCACAGGTATCTTCATAACATTTGTCTCATGTGGCACCGTGCGAGCAACGAAGAGGTTGTTGAGCATAACGTAGTGGGCAAGGAAGTAAGTCAGTCAAAGAGGTTATGAATCTTCATTGGTTGACATGGTTTAGACATGCATTGCGCGTTTCGAGCAACTCCTTGCCTCGACGTGCACCGTTAGTCGGCGAAAATTCAGGTTGTAGGAAGGCTGAGTGGCAAGAATGCAATGTGGCGTCAGTACACGACGTTTTAATTGCTGCTCTGAAGCACGCAGAGAGGTATAGACTACTTGGTTGGGGTTCTCGAAATAACAGAAACCAACGACTGGAGACTTTGGTGACACGTGAAAATCGGTCACAATGGAGCAGACATACTCACACTCTGTTATCCTCAAAAGTTTGAACATTGTCACTAACCTACAATGTTATTGATTCACTCTCGCATACAATTTTGTCTACTTTGATATCACTTATCCTATACAATTGTTTTTTTAAACTTAATGATGTGTAATGAGGCAACTTGGGCCAATGCACTCCAATACCAGGTTATACACTGAATTTTATGTTGAATTAATCTCATTACTGACCTAATGACTGACTTTCAGTTGGATGATCCCTTCATAGTACTCCATATATTTTGCCAATGTTCACGTTCCTCCCGATTGATATTTGATTAGACAACCATGCTTCCAGGAGGTCTTTTGCGATTATTTTAGCTTGTGCTTTGTAGGATTTTTATTTTTTTAAATCGAAGTTATGCTTGTAGCCATCTGACTGCATCGCTACAATGGGGATCCATTATATTTAACTGCTAGGTGATTATAAGGGGTATTCGGAATCTGGATTGACCAACATAGTGATACTGACGGCCTGCAACTAAGTTGGTAGACGATATGCGTCTCTTCTTGTTTGAGTTATGGATTATTCCTCTAGAATAATATATTTTGTGGAGAATTTGCTAGTTTGTGTATCACACTTCAGCACTAAGCGTCACGCAACACAATAGCTCGGCCTACGTAGCAGACATCACAACCAAGTCTGGCAGTACTCTAGAAGGAAGTGTCTAATTATCACAGTGCAAACAATACTACGGTCAAATCTATAAACAAATAACCCTAGAACATTTCAATATATTTGTTCAGAGATCACTGTTTTCGATTCAGGCATAACGCCACTGGATACTAAAAGGTTTAGCTTAATTAACTGAAACTGTGCGTATCGAATCCACTCGATTTCAATAAACAGGTAAACAAACAAACGCAGAGCCTGACACAAAAGTGAACCGATTTCACTTACACTTCATAAGATTGGTTATATGCAGGAGAAAAAAGGAAACTCACCTCCTTTGAGCTTCTTGTTTGCAGCGACAGAACTCGCAGTAGTACTTGTTGTCTGATCGCATCGTTTCAGTATCCGAAAAGCAACGTAGACAGTAAGAAATATCAACATTATCCCCAACATCTACTGACAGATCCAAAAAATTCTCCTCTTTGGTTCGAACGTTATCACAGTTCAAACACCGGGTTTCGTTGGTCAGGCTTCCCTGAAAAATTTCGTGGATCCAGTTTTGATTTCCACTCCTCTTATCATTCGCTTGGACATCAGTTGAACTACAACTTTTGACGCCTTCGGTATCGTCAGTCCCCGTTGATTGTTGGTCCGCTGCCAACATAACTTAAAATATTCTGATTACCTCTTATTATATCGGCTATTTTATTAAGAAGATAATTCAGAAACTCATGGGCATCCTGCTGTAGGTAGTTGTCAAACAGGCCTGTGAACAAGGTATTAGTCTAACAAAATGTAACCGTACAGTTTTCCCGCTTTAACTTCTGTATGAACTTCTTAGGACGCATTTGTCCTACTCTTCTTTGTTGTGACACAACTGAGTAAAACAGATCTGAAAGACATGTGAGAAGGGTTTCATTTTTCGGGTTTTTAGCTCGGTCATTATATTCCAAGACCTTATCCCGAAAAGGCTTGCAAAAGAACAGCGCTTGTATTACCGAATTGCAGTAGCATGTATTACCGAACTACAAGATTCACGCGAAGACAAGCGAACATACGTTTACTAGTCCAAAATACCGCTCTCCACTTAGTAGCTGATCGTTAGCAATCTCCTTTTCCAACTGGGAACTACTTAACCCCTGAAGAAATCATTGAAAGGAGCATATGAAGATACCATTTTTAGACAATTGCTACGTAGAAATGATCCTAATAGCCTCATACTGAACTATCATCATGCTCAAGTCTAAACGAGAGTAACGCAGTATTTGAAATTTTCACCTGCAATTGATGAAATGCCAGACATATATAGATTTAAGTTTACGTTTTTACGTTTCTGTGGGAGCACTCCTTAAAACTATCAGCTCTACTTCAGCGAATCCTGAAATAGATCTTGATTATGAAATTTCGCTTCTGTTAGCCTTTCATAAATAAAACAGTCACTGTCTGTGGATGAATGGCTTTTTTGGCATTTGGTGAGCTCTCTTCATGAACAGTATGCACCAAGAATACTCCTCAACAATTTCTTCGGTTTCACTTTTAGCACTGAACCTCACTTCAGAGATAATCAACAGTTCAATTATTACTTACCTCTAGGGGATTCAATTCTTCGGCTTTCGAAATCTTACTAGGAAAGAGTTTGTTTGAGGTTAACCTGGATATGTAGCGAATCAGCTGCATGCAGATTGCACAGTTTTAGGAATCGTTCTTATGCGGACTTGACAGACAGAAGCAAATCACCAACTATATGTTTTTGCGGTGTGCCCACGAGTTAGGGGTCAAGCGACAAGACAGCCGCCTAGTCAGATGGGAATAGTATATACGAGACGTCGTGTCAAAGTACCGATGCGTTTCGACTAGCTGGCTCGGGGGTCGATTACGAATAACGCAAAACAACACGATATGTGCCTCCAGCTTAGCAAGTTTGATAAAGCTACGTAGGTCAGCTTCAATATCGGACCTCATCGATCCTTTTGCCGTTGATTTTGACTATTACATGCCAATATACTTCTGTCTGACTGCTCTATTTCCTAAGCCTTTAGGATCCCAACGACAGGAGTATAATTTAATTATACAAGAAGATAACTATTTGTGACTAGACATACAACCTGTAAACATTTTTAATTATTCTAAATACCACATATCTTAGGGTCATAGTAAGAATCAGGGGTAGCAAATGCCACTGATACCAAGATTTTCACTGAAATAGGGTTAGAAGTTGGTCCAAGCGGATAAACGGTGAGTTTCTAAGTCTCAAAATGGTTGAATCCCCATCCAGTATTGCCTGTCATCATTGGAGGATAAGTGGAATTAAATTCTAGAAAAAACACTTGCATTTTCTGCCGTGGTCTTCCAGCAAGATTTTGAGAGCAATGGGCTTAAGGCCTTCGGGCCGTCGAAATATGGCAGGAAAGCAGATAAAAAACATGAAGCTAGCTACAACAACGTCTGAAAACGATGCAGAAGTCTGAACAAGCAGCCAGTGTTTAACCGAAAAGAGATTGAGAAAGGGATTTTTTCCATGATAGATGCTTACATATAACTAAAAACGCACACGATGGTGCAACTATGCACGTCAGCTGAGGAAAATAAACTGGATCTGAGCGAACTAGTCCCATAGCGGTTGCAAATGACAGAAACCTTCCACCTACATTTTCGCAGTCAAACGTTTAGCTGGAAAGGGAGAAGCACATAGGAGGGCAACACACAAAACACATGACCGATCCAGTTAGTGTGGTCTATATGGAATTCTCATGCGACAATAAGCACGCTTTAACTGGTCTAAAATGAGACACTGCACTCTCGTCAGATAGAAAGAGTAGGACTGAGGAGACTGACAAAACCCAGATGCCACTTACCGTGGGCCTCACTTACTTTGAAAATGTATTATAGCATATTCAAAGCACCTCTTCTCGAAGTAGAAAGGCATTTAAAGGTAAAACAGGTCGTCAAAAATGTTGATAGAAACTAAACGCCCGAGAATAAGAATTCTTCTGAGTTCCGTAAGACGAAAACCACGTTCTGGTACAACTGCTGGACTCTCGGGACATTTAGAAATATGGGTCAATCATACTTGTAAAATCTCAATGAAGTAGAAAGACAGGTTTCTGGCGTTTCGCGACTTTGTGGAAATTGATTCTCTGAAAAGGCGATTTCCACAAGGTCGCGAAACGCCAGAAACTTGTCCTTCTACTTCAGTGAGATTTTCCAAAGTTTCACTTGTAATCCTGTCATTTAATGCCCAACTTATTCGCCCGCATCGGATCAAATTCGGATCCTGATGTTTATGGGATCAGCCAGAAAAATTACTCAATTTTTTTAATTTGCGAGCACATGCGCCTTTTTTCGCCAAATACCGTGCCATCGTCTATTTTTACCAGCAATGGGAAACTTTCCTCGCCTTCTGTCACCGTAACGTCGTGCTGTTGCCATCGAGTATGAATGCATTTTCAAAAAAGCAATAAAAGAAATGAATTTTACCCTGTCAATATTTTTGTTTTCATCCATGTAGCGTATAAATGTTTCCCATTTCCGGACAACGTTGATAGGGCATTTAGGACCTTAATTCCCAATCCATGTGTTAGAAGCACTGGACTGAACGTTAAATCACCGCGGAAATCGCGATTGACCTACCAATAGATTCTTGGTTTTCTTTTTTCTCCGACATTGGAGACAGTCCACACAGCCAGTAGAAACACTTCGAAGTGAAGGATCCGGGAGAGTCCTACCGTTGATGAAACTTTAAGGTTTATTTGCAGCTGGTATCGTCGAATGATCGTCGCTGATTCCTACAAGAAGAGTGATTGGCGGTGGCAGACAAGTGGCCGAAACTAATAGCCCAGGCTTCGGCGAAATTCAATATTCATGCTGACCTTCACAGTTTTTACAGAATCGCCAAGTTGAGGGCACACGGTTAAGCGTCCACTTCATTTGGAACTTTTTCACTCGACGTTGTGCAGCCTATACGTAATCTCCAACGAGTTAGTCGGGACAAGTCGGTATTCTGGCACTGGCCAACAAATGTACTAATCCACCTGGTTATCCTGTTGTGTCCCTTTTTTATCTCACACTCATGGATGTGTTACAGGCACAACGAATTAGTGATTGACCCTTGCGTTGGTCAAATCCGCATAAGATCAATTCCTGGGAGAGCTCTCCTGACTTTTTGTCGAAGGCGGGAGTGTTGGATAGTCAACAGCACACGCTGGACCTTAGTGGCCCACGCTTGCGGCGTTTAACCGCTGTGATTTATAGATGGCCATGAATTTCTCCTTTCCTCAGACAACCTCAGCAGGTCCATCATAGAGGGCTTTGGTACTACACAAAAGCACACTAGAACACGTTCGTAGTCTTAAAGAACTGTTCTCAGCTATCGCCACACAATCTTTTTCCAGATAGACGGCTCCTAAATGTGACGCATTCGGATTTTCAGACTCTCAGCACAACTATGAATATCAGAAGGGGCTAACACCCTTTATTCCGGAGTAAATAGTCGGCCGGGTCAACGTAGTACGCTTCTGCGGCGTCATTCAAAGATAGGTGGTGTTCAGTTTTTTGAAAGCCTTTGCAACCCAACAAATTCAACAACTGACCGGAGATAGCGGGTTCAAGTTGTAACGCTCGTCCGCTTGTCACGGCAGGAGAGTATTCTAAAATGACTCTGCACATAGGGGCTTCTTATGATTAAGAAAAGGAACCTGTCGAGACAAAATTAGACAGGAATAATGATAAAAAGCAGAAGTGAGCCAGCGATGTTCAGACGAACATTAGAGTTCCTTGAATTTGGCTTTGGGAAAGTCCGAAGCAATGCTGCACTGTTTTGGCCCACTTGGAAACATTGTAACTGGATACCAAGATTGGCACCAGCCAGACAAATTTAGGGGGTACGAGTTTGCTATTAGCTTGGCTACTGAATTGTGAATGGGCGTTCCTGAGGTGGGTGGTAGAAATACGCAGATAGAGAGGAGAGGCAGGCCTTGGATTCTCTGTAGACATATCACAATGAACTGTACCTTCACCACTCAGAACCGGCTGGTTCTGTATTTTCGAGGGTTAAGCGTTGAAGTTTTTCCATATCCTTATCAGAAAACTCACTTTCAACAGACTTCCGCTGGTCTATTGTAGATAACAATCGAGTGATGGGAATGTGAGACGGAGTTTGTCCACAGGAGTACACAACAGAAATTTATCAGACGTCCCACGTCGCTAGCGGAACGCAGTCCAGGTGATGCGGCTTATACTTATCTGTGGAGTTGGTGGTATGAGTCAAAAGTGTGTGACGGGTAAATACAAAAAATCACGACTCCCTAAAACGGCAGGGATGTTTTGCTGTAGCGTTCATAAATAAAACATCACGAGCTGAGTTGGTTGTCACATTACACATGTGGTTAGCTTCGAGGAGAAAGTAGGCCACAGAAAAGCACGTTCTTTTAGACACAGCAATGCATCGACAGCAACAGTGTAAAAGGCACAAGCTGAGATCCGTAGAGTGCGTAACACACCGATGGGCCAACGTTGTAGACACTGCCACGATACAGCTGATTACATGAAATAATTGCAGCACTATTGAAAGCGAAAAGAAAAGGAGAGGAAGTAAGACATATGAATCCCCAGATCATTACTAAGAATATGGAGTGATAATATTAGGTTCCCTCTTCTCCCACCATAAGACAACAAGAGAAAATTTCGTCTCTCCAGGCGACCCTCATAGGACATGTTTGACAGGCCTGCCGCCAACTCGCCAGACACCTACATTCAAACTACTTGACTGGTTCACTCAAAACAGTTTGCATCCCAGGTCTATCGTCATCGCCGCGGATAACCCTCTATATTTCCATGTCGTCGGCAAATGGTAAGACCGGTGGGCTAGTCACATCTGGAAGTTTACCGGCATAGGGCAAGGAAAGTGGAGGGCCCAAAAGTGTTGTTCGTGGGATCCCATTCGTCGCACGTTTACAGTCAGATAATGTCCCGTTCACTCTGATTCTCTGCCTCCCACCTCGTGGAAATTCTTCAGTCCAGGGCTTCCTCGCAGTGCCAAACTTAAACTTTGAAGGCTTTTTCATTGGTTTAACGAGGGAAGTCTTGTCGAGGACACAACCGAAGTCGGTGAACGCAGCTCTTACGGGCATCTTGCTGCCACCAGCTGCCATCAATTTCTTTCCCGTCATGTCGGGGGTGATAGTTCGGCAAGATAGACCAATGCATAACCTGTGTTGCAACTATGTGAGAAGGGTACAATTTTTGATACGGCTGAAAATTCCATCCACGATATCCTTTAGTACT